GTAGTTCCATGGTAAATATATCTAAGTGAAGATCAAAAAGAACATGAAGATAGTGAAATCCCCTAAATTGAAGTCCCATCAACTGATTCTAAGATCCTTATTCCTGTGGATTTTGTGCATACCTTTAATTCCATTCCCGTTCATTGTCATGGTTTCTTAGTTTACATGTATTCTATCTTTGATTTATCCTTAATCTGCTTCATGTCCTGCAGCCTTGTTGGTTCGCTAAACAAGATACCTCTTTCTGTTGCTGGTATCCTTCTTTTCCACGTCCCCACGAGTTTGGAAAATTCTGCAAGCATATTCTTTGGTAAATTTCCCGTCATTTTGCAAGTTTAATAGTATTGTTCTACAGTAAGAATCACAATCACTTGTTAACTTATTCTTCGGTAAATTTTGTACATCCATAGGATTGTTGGCTGGCGTGTTTTTTGCAAGAGCAAAAATCCGTGATAGAACTCGATCTTGAAGAGCTTAGATTAACACTTTTGGTGATTGACCTTCTGATTTATAGCATGAACATTTTGTATACTTCTTCTTTCCTGAGAAATGGTTATTTTTTTCCCTTAGCTGTTGCAGAAACTGTAAGCGACTGAAATACAAAATCACTGATAATCATACCACAAATCAAGTTGAGGTCTAATGTTCTTATGATTGTTCCCTAATGAATATTTGACATATATCGATACATTAGTTTTGTTAGTAAATGAGATGATATCATTAGGGTATATTTTTTTCATTTGGTAACTAGAACCGTTATCTCGAGGTGTCAAAAATCTAGTAAACAGTCATGTTTGTCTACTATTATTTCGAAACTCTTTTTTCACAAATTCATTTTAATCACATTCTCACAATAAAATATTTTACACAAATTCAATTTTTTTTTTTTGTGCTTTTTAACCACATATTTTTCAAAAATCCACTATTTCAAAACTCATTCTCTAACTGTGGGCAAGTAATGAGGGCCCACATGGGGTCAAGTGACCCCACAAAAATTAAGTTTAATTAATTGTGACTTATTAATTTGTGACTTGCATAAGTTTAATTAAAGAAATCTGAACTGTTGCTTGATATTAGTAATTAGTATAGTACTATACTTAATATTTAATAACAAAATTACTAGAGACTAGAGCCTAGAGAGGGAAGAAGAATACTTGTTTTGCATAATTCAGGTAAAATACTTAGGTTTATAGACTAGGCTGAGCAATAAAATTGATTGCCTTATATCCTTTCATGGATTAACAGAGAGCAAGAAGAATCAGCTTTCAAGTTTCAACTAACAGCTCATCTCACTTTTTTTTTGAATGTAAAATGTCAATTCATTAAAAACGCACAAAGCGGATACAAGGAGAAGAACCTCCAACACGACGCCCTCCTAAGAGAGATAAAGTGTTATCCAAGCGCAGTAAAACCACAAACTATACAGGACGCAACAACATACAAACTAGACCATGCAAACAAGACTCGACCCAACAACAGACACAGCTAATACAAGTCATAAAACATCTGTGACTTTACAGTGCAAGAAAAACCCGACTGAAAGCCAACTACGCAATCAGCACTTACGCCCCCCCGCACACGAAGTAACGGGCTTTGTCTAGACTTCGCATCAACCAAACAAACACACAAACAAAACAACAAAAAGGGACCACACAACCAAACAACACAACAACCACACACCACCAACAAAGACAACCCACACAGATCAACATCCACAACACCACCAACCAAACCACAACACCGCCAAGCAACCACCCGGAGGCACGACGGCACCTCCCCCCTCTGCTCATCTCACTTTAATCTTGGAGTCAAGGTGCCAATAGGATATCCCAATTCCAAGTAGGTATACGACGTTTCAGAGTATGAAAACGTGTAGGTTACAGTTGTAGTAGTGTACCAACTTTTCATTAATGATATGATGTTTAGAAAAGAATTGTATTTTAATTTCTGACCCTACAATACAAAACGTCTGACTTTATCCCTGTAGAGAAGCACGGGTTATCTCTCATTTTCTTGTTCCTCATAATCCACACTACTCTTGGATGGCATTTTGAAGAAGGGGTTAACATAGAGGCGAGGTTGAAGAAAAATGTTTAATTTGTTCTATTATTTATTCTTGATGACAATAAAGATACCGTCTTTTCAACTAATAAATTATGTTTGAGAGAGTAGTTTATAATCAGTTTATATATTATAAAAATGTAGAAATGAATGGTGAATAAGAGTGGATTCCAGAATAAAAATTAGTTTCATCAATTATAAATAAATTATAAAAAAATGCCAAGGACTTATCTTTCACAACTTTTTAATAGGTTAAATGAGTGAAGTTTTGTCAGCATCGAGATTTACATACAACCACAATAAAACATTAAATCTTGAAGATATGTGTCGTCAAACGGGTGAAGGAAGGTCCCACTCGACCCCCACTGGTGGCCATGGAACCACAATTTAGATACTCATCCTAACAGAATTCTAACCCAATTGTCACAATGGACCCATATGGATGGACATGGCTATATCAATATCGTCCTTAAATTTATCAATCATAATGGGACTATAGTTTTTGTTTGATCTTTGATTACTACTCGTCACATCATCTACAATTTCCATTGTTACCACATTTTTTTTTTCCCATAAAAACTAGATTATGATTATTTTCTTTTACATTTTATTCTCAAAACTATATTTTTTGATGTTCGTCATTGTGACCTTTCGTGTATTAGCACTAGCGAATCGTCATTGTTGACATCGATGTTTGAAATGTTGGATACAATATTGTCAAAAAATAAATATGAAAGATCGAAGTGGAGAAGAGATACAAGTCAGAATAACGACCACAATTCTACTTCCCTTTTGGAAGAACCACAATTTTATTATTAAAATGTTCTAGAATTATAATAACAAGTTCAATCAAAGAGTTCTATTTCGACAAATTATTTAGCGAGGAATGGAGTTTAAATTTTATAGACTAGAGGCTCGAAACGATTATTTTACTTTTGTAATAAGAGGCAAAGGTGAACAAATTCTTTGAATCCATTGAATTTTGAACACTTTTTCTATTGTTGGTGTTACATCATTGTTCATTTACTATCTCCTAGGTTTAATCCATTGAATTTTGAACAACTTATGCTTTTGTGTGATGTAAAATATTTATGATTTTTTCGTAGAAAGGTATTTTTTACACTTTGAAATAGTCAATTAATTCTTCTTTCTTAGATTATTTATGATAGTCGAAATAAGTTACAATGCTGAGTAAATAATTTCGCCGTCCATCGTTTATCACAATCGAAGATGCATTCGTAATGCTATTAAATACAATAAGATCATTGCCCATCAAATTGTCACAATATGGTAAAGAATACAAAAATCTTGACTTCCCCCTATTACCAAATCCACTACTTTATTTGTTTATTTTTTATTTGTGTACAATGACCAATTCCAACAACATTGACCATTAAAATATTAGGAAATAACAAAAAATGATTCAATTGAGACCATTTCCTCCATGAATTTAATAAAGAAAATCAATTTTGGCTTTTTTTGTGAATTAATTAATGACATTAAATGAATCTTGAAAAGAAAACATATTAATAATTTATATAAAAAAAGTAAAAATAAAAAGCACTGGAATAAAGAAGGAAAGAAAATACCAACCAATTAAGAAGAAATTGGCCAACCTCCAACTGAAAACTACCTACCACCATTCTTCTCTCTCTAAGTATATGTATGTATATTTTTCCCTCTTTGTCTCTCTATATATGCATATATTTGCTGGCGGTTGAATTAATGTCTATACTGTACAAGAAAATTACTACAGGACACCTTTAAATTGAAGCAATTCAGACGCACAATTACATAGTAATAAACCAAGATTTTGTGGTAGACAAACTATTCACATTCTCAACTACCCATCACTCTCCTGTTTCATTGCGTGTTTTGTGAAAAACCCAAAAACTTGGAAACCCTAGAAAAGAGGAAAGGGGAATTTTTCTAGATTTCCTCATTCTAATTTCAGAAAAGAAGCTTTTCTTGATTTAGGTTTGTTTTGTTCTTTTACTTTTCTGGGTTTTGTTAAATTTTATCTGGTAGTTCATTTTATGTTCTTGTTGAATAGAAGGATGAAGTGATAATTGTAAGATTTTGATATGCGAATATTTATAGTTTATTTTTCCTCCTTTTCTATTTTAACGAATTTTATCGGAAATGTAAGAAAAGAAATTTAAAAACAAAATGAAGCACTTAAATAAAAGATTTGGGGATTTTGCTTGGGAACTTGTCGAATTTTTATGATATTTTCTGCATTAATGTCTGAATAATTATTAATTCATTGCATATCAAGAAGCTGATCACTATTGAGTTTTATGCTTGATCGTGGCCTCTGGAACATTTGTGATAAAGGGACTTCTTATGTTCAAGTAATGCTAAGTGTTGTGCTTTTAACTAATTTAGTGTACTAAGGTCTCTACTCCTTAGTTGATGCTCATTGATGTAGTAGAGTTTGTGGTTGGAATTACACAAGTTATATTTCTATGGCAGTGCTGAGATTGTGTTGTTTGATGGAAGAAATGTTCGTGCATGATCTCAAGCGCTGTTGTCATTTACATTGCACCTCAGTTGGAAGCAATTTCGGGTGTCTGATTAAAGAAAATACTATGCTAGAATCTTTTGATCTATGTCTCAATGAGTTGTGTATTTATCTTTCTAGAATTCTAAATTAGCTTGAAGGGTGATAAGTGGTTTGTAGTTATCATGTTCTGTTTCAATTCTGCCATTTATGATAGTTTTCTAGACTAGAATTTGCTTGGATTATTCAGAATCCATTGAGTCTTAGATATTAATTTTCTCAAAACAAAAATTGGGCATCTGGTTCTAGCAATCATCTTGAATAATCTGAGATTAGTCGTTTCTTCGTCCTCTGATGCTATCTACAAAGGTTCAATGGAAGTGCTAAAGACTACTTTGTTTTTTGGGTTCCAGATTAAGTTGCATTTATTTCCATAATGTCAAGCTTAGAGCAGCCTCTTGGACTGGACAAGTTGCCAAGCTTGAGCAACATCGACTGGCTTAATAGGTGCTCATCCAGTGCATGCAGACCCATAGAAGAGGATATGGGAATGGGAAACTGCTGGATCGAAGGAAGAAGTTGCAGTTCATCTAACAGCTGCAAGTAAGTGTGATTTATGCAAGAGTAACTATGAATCTGTCACCTGTGAATCATGTTTGAATCTGCGAGTAAGGTTAATTTATATTAGACAGATTACACTGATTTATATTCATCTAAAGGCAATTTATAAATCATTTATAAATGTTCAAACTTCATTTTCAAGCACACATTCCAATGGACCCACGAGTAATATCCACTTATCAACCACTCATTTTTATCTATTTATAAATTAAACTGTTGATAAATTCTTCCCAAACGGAGGCTAACATGCAAGAGTTAGTATACAGTGTTTTATGTCCATTAATCCTCTTTAACTAGATCACTGCAAATATTTTCAAATTTCACGCCTGCATATTGGTGGACGACCTGAGTATAGGACTACTTTTCTCTCTGACTATAAATCTGTGAATTCTATTATTGATCTACCTTCTGTCAAGCATTACATAGCAGTTGAAAAAACAAGGTTTCTAGCCTTTTCTAACTCTCAGTTTCTTCCTAGAAAATTCTTGATTTCTTCCCAAAAAAAAAAAAAAAAATCCTAGCTATTGATAAAATCACGAGTTTGTGTAAAAGCTCTCGATTCAGACATTGAAATTCTTGGATAGTCACCATGAATCCTGCTTACCTCGTTCTTGACCCCTTTGCAAGTGAATATTATAAACCTAGCCTTATTATATTAAGGTCTTATCTCATGATTTTCTATTAGTTTCGCTGCAATTGGTAGTGGACTTCAGCCTTATTTAATCAAGCAGACAGCTTCAAATTAATTTGCAGGTCTAAATCAAAGTCATTCATAAACACGTGAAAAAACCAAGCAATTTTAAACTTGTGACATTCATCTTTTCTGTGTTAATGATTTCGAGTATTTAAGCCATTATGCATTCATTTGATGGGTCTGGGGTTCTGGATTACACTACCAATAGGAGGTTGTGTTTATTTTCAGTGAAGATTCTGAAGAGTACAGGCGAGAGACTTTACCATGGAAAAGACAAATGAGGGGCTCATCGCAAAGGACTTCAAATGCAGGCAGGAACTCTGTGGCCTGTGGAATTGTGAATGATTTGCGCTACTTGTCCAATCATCAAGGTCACTCCTATAGCAATGACAAAGACGTAGGAGAGACGAAATATAAGGTAATTCTTTGGAATTAATTTTTAAAAACTGACAGCTTCATTTTCAATTTTTTTACTATGATTTTCAATTGACAACTTGTTTTATGTAGCAGTTTTTCAAAGACATACCAAGATATGTGAAGATAGTAGAAGTTGGTCCGAGAGATGGGTTGCAAAACGAGAAGACCATTGTCCCAACATCTGTGAAGGTCGAATTAATCCGTAAACTTATTTCTTCTGGATTGCCTGTAGTTGAAGCTACAAGCTTTGTGTCACCAAAATGGGTTCCTCAGGTAATTAACACTGCTTGTTACGTGGTGTTTAATTGTCACTTACTCACAAGATCTGAATGTGATTTTGGCACTTTCGTTTTCCCTGTCTAATTCCTATCTCATTCGATTAGCTGGCAGATGCAAGGGATGTGATAGACGCAATTAAGAATTTCGAAGGTGTTAAATTTCCCGTGCTGACACCCAATCTAAAGGTGGATAACCTTAGGGAAAATATGACTTATTTTAGCACCCTTAGTTCTGTAGTCGGAGATTTCTAATTTATTGTTAAATTAATGTTAGGGGTTCAAAGCAGCCACTGCAGCTGGTGCAAAAGAAGTAGCTGTCTTTGCATCAGCTTCCGAGTCCTTCTCAAAATCAAACATCAACTGCACTATCGAAGAAAGTCTTTCTCGTTATCGTGCAGTTACTTCTTCTGCCAAAGAGCTTTCAATTCCTGTGCGTGGGTATGGCTATACTCTTTCTCCCCTTCCCCCAACCCCAACTTGCCACATCTCACCCACAAAATCACAGTGACTGTTTTTGCTCGATTGTCCTTGGAGAATTTTACTTTCTTTTATCACTATTCTATGGTAAATACTTCCTATACAGCAACTGTATGCTTTATAATTCTAGCAAGGATTAAGTTGAAGAAATCTATATGAAACTCGACAGGTATGTCTCATGCATTGTTGGCTGTCCAGTTGAAGGATCAATCTCCCCGTCAAAAGTTGCATATGTGGCAAAGGAACTTCATGACATGGGTTGCTTTGAAATCTCACTCGGAGATACTATAGGAGTTGCTACACCTGGTAACGGCTTAAATAACACATTCGTGTTCCCCTGGATTCAATCATCAAATTTGCAATGCTATTTTTGTTTCTGCTATATCCTCCTATGATTGACAATTCACTGTCAAACAAAATCATCAATTTTGTTTAAAACTTTTACAACGTGCACTCGTTCACATCCCGCGTCCTCTGCATTTTTCATTCATGTAGGTAACGTGCTTCCTATGCTTGAAGCTGTGATGGCTGTTGTTCCTGTTGAGAAGCTTGCTGTCCATTTCCACGACACATATGGCCAGGCTCTATCAAATATATTAGTATCGCTTCAAGTGAGTAATTTCTCTCTGTAACACACAAGAATAGTAAATAAGAACCACGACTCTAAATTTGCTTGTTTATGTTGAATAAGTATGAAGTTGATTTGGCCTGTTCGCCAAACTGCTAATATGCCGAACCATTTTCCTGTTCTAAGCTCCTACTTATTAAGAATTGGATTCCATCTCAAAAATGTCTTTTAAAGAGGAATAATCAAACCACCCTTATATATTGGTTTTTATTTTACATTTATTCAATGTGGGATTTATCCCTTAAATGTCCCGAAAGATGGTGGCACATTTGAGAACACCAATCTTAAAATCTATGTGCTCGTTTGAGTCTTACACTCTTTCATCAATAGATGGGGATTAGCACAGTGGATTCCTCAATCTCTGGTCTCGGAGGGTGCCCATATGCCAAGGGGGCTTCAGGGAATGTTGCGACTGAGGATGTCGTCTACATGCTTAGTGGTCTTGGTGTGAAAACCAATGTCGATCTCAACAAACTCTTGCTGGCCGGAGAGTATATCAGCAAACAGTTGGGTCGAACATCAGGTTCCAAGACGGCCATTGCATTGAGCCGCGCAACTCCAGATGCTTCTAAGATTTGAAAGAAATTAAGGCATTGAGACATCTTTATAAGCTATTTATGTCTATTGAGCATGCATCTAGGAATAATCGATGCTAAGAACTATAACTAATAGGTGATTTGTTTTTTCGAGTAGCAATCTGCTTACCATGGCAGAATTGATGTATACCATTCTTGAACTATATTATATATAAAAGAGGCGCGACCTCATTATACTATATGTACACCATATTGGCATGTTTACTCGACGTTGTTAAATAAAATTTTTAAAAATTTAACTTGTTGTATTGACTATTGAGTATGATTACATAGCACTAAATCAACATATAATGAACTGAGCTTGAGCTCAACTCAATGTGATTTTTAGGAAATTTTGTATTGGTAAACTTAAATCTGTAGTATATCTCGAGAAAGTTACAGGCACAAGTTCCTTAATGAATTGAATCTAGTTAATTTAACTTCTCTTTGAAGGTGCATGTGGTTAGGAATTACAATAATGAACCAATGCTGGGTTAAACTCTAGTATTTGTCCAAGCTCGATTTGGGTGCTTGGATAAAATGGAGTTAATTAAATGAACGGCACAAGAACTTTACTACGTATTCAAATCATATATGAACTCACTAATTTGTATCACAATTGTACATGAATTAACTTTCGTAAATTAAACTAGTGGAACAATTCACTTGACAAAGAGAGCGCCTGCGTGATGATAACGAGGAAGATACTTTGTAAGTTAATTACAAGAGTGGTACATGAACATTACAAATGTATAGAACCCATACACAAACTTGATTTTGTATCAAGATCATACAGACTTGAAAATTTATACCCCATCATTACAAGAATTAACTTTCGCCTGTCAAAACTAACGAAAAATTTGACATGGCAAATGGAATGTCTACTTTCATTCGTAAACTATTATCCTCATCATACAATAAATTTAGAGTAATAATCAGATTTTTAAAAAAATATATTAACTAAGGTAGTCCACACTCCACATGCTATCATCTTTGAAAAAATATGTTAGTACGAGTCAATATTTTATTATTTCACGGTACTGTAAATTTTTAGTAATGTCAAATTCCTGTCACGTCATTGCCACGTAGATGCTCCTTTTGCCACGTGGACGATTACAGACGAAAGTTCGTCCATATGGATCAGATTCAAAGTAGCGATCCCATGTATGATTTTTATATAATGTTGATATTTATAATTTTCATACAAAGTAGCGATCCCATGTATGATTTTTATATAATGTTGATATTTATAATTTTCATACATTTGTAAAGTTCGTATACCATTCTTGTAACAATCTTATCTACCACATCATCGTCACATACATTTGCAACATGGACTGTTTCTTTAGTTTTCACTAAAGAAAATTAATTCGATACAAAATTGTGAGTTCATGTATTCTTTTAACACAGCTGAGTTTACATATAGTTTCATTATTTGAATATGTTCATATATTGCTTGCGAAACTATTAAAAATAAAAATGTTCATAAATTTTATTTTATTTTTGATAACCGTGGATGTCCAAACCAGCTTGTGCGCACCTCGACTAATCACACGGAGCAAAAATGTTCATAAATGAAAAAAAAAAATTCATTTCAACTCATTAGAGACGTAGCTTTTGTAAAAGGAAATTGGAGAACATCACAAAGGATCACTCGTGATTTTCAATTTTCATCGTCCTTCCTTTTTCTCACGAATTCGCAAGGTGAATATCACAAATCAAAAATACAAATGTAACAGTTCGACAATTAAGTTTATTTTACCTTTTAGTCTAAGGAAGAAGAAACTAGCAAATTTATAATTTTTCTTTCATACTTGTAAGCACGCCCAAACAAGCTCGTATAGATGAGTCATGGACTCACTGTTTCCCACATTCAAGATCTAATCTATTCAAAAGAATAATATAGCAAAAACTTTAAAACAATGAATTGAGACAAAATTAGCAGAAAATTGAGTCCTTTTTAATCTATGTTGTAATAGAAAATCTTCATCAAAATACAATAATTTCAGAAGAGAACAGAAAAACAAGTTATTCCATCTATCATAACACATCAGGTTCCCCCTTCTCGTATTCCTCTCTCTCTCTCTCTCTCCATCGTTCCTATTTCTAGATGCACACACATGCAAAGCAAGAAGAATGACAAATCAAATGTACCTGGAGGTGTAAATTCTGAAGTAAAATTTACTTGGTCCATGAGCTCAAGAAATAATCGCCAACACTCAAGAACACATGTTTGTTCAATACGACATCCACTGCAGGTTGATTTTCAATGCACTTTACTGTGATCTTACCCTTTCCTTGCTGAAATTCTAACTTCAAATTATGGTGGTCCCTTGACAACAAATAAGATTTTAACCCATGTGTGAACTTGGTATTGCCTGCATACAACTCAACAATGGCATCCGAGTTGAATACTAGAGCAGGTCTTGCCAAAGTGATGGTGAAAGAGAGATTTGATATCCCACGAAAACTCTCTTCGTCAAGAATCACAGCATGTGGAGGCATCAAAGAAGAGGGAAGTAACGAAGACCCAAGAACATCCCTGACATATAGTTCCTGTGATTCCAAAATTTCTTGAAGTTTTGATTTGTTTTCATCTAAAGATTTAAAATAGACCTCCACCATGTCAGTAGGCTCAAGCGCTGCTTTCTTACGCAACTTCTGAACTCTATTAACAACCTCACGAGCAATTCCAGCCTCAAACAATGACTCATCCCCATGCAAATCCAATATCACCAAGACATCACCATCTCCAGCAGCATCCATTTCTTCTTCTGTCACATTATCAGGACGTCTGAAACCCCGAATTATCTTAAGATCACTAAGCTTCAAAACATGCGTTGCAATAGTAACTTCTCCAGCTTTTTCAAAAGCTAAGATATCTTCTGTTGACATGGCCTTCACCTCCTTCGCGACGACTCCCATTGATTTTCCCAGGCGTTTTCCTAAAACGCTAAAATCAGGTTCTGCTCGCAAGGATGCATACTTCAGTGTATCATTGCACGGAACCAAAGACTTCACATTAAGCTCCTCGAGCACATAATCTCTTAGTTTACCAGCAATGTCATCGAGGAACACCACATCGGGATGTACAACTACCATCTCCTTGAGAGGTGTTTTCAGAGGTTTGTTATGTCGCTCACGAATGTTCCGTGCAAGATCGATGATTGTCATCATCCGAGTGACACTCTGTTCAATACTGTTAACTTCCTTCGCTTCTACTTCTGGGAAACTGCAAAAGTGAATGCTCTCTTCTGTTCCACTCCCAACTTTCCTTAGGTTCTGATAGAGAACTTCTGTGAAGAACGGTGTGAATGGAGCCATTGCTTTACATGCTGTCAGAAGCACGTGATAAAGAGTCGAAAGAGCAGTTCTGCAATCCTCTTCTCCAGTCCGGCCTTTAAGTCTTTTGCGATTAAATCGCACGTATATATTTGTCAAGTTGTCCAGAAATTTGAGGAGATAAGGAACCACTGTGTACAGCCTATAAGCATCCATTTCTTGCCGCACAAAATGAACCAAACTCTGAGTTGCAGCGTTTATCCACTGGTCAAGGACATTTGAGGACTTTTGAAGAATGTTATGATCAATGGGGGTAAATGGTGCGAGTCCATCAATTTCAAGTCTTTTAGCATTTTGGACAAGGAACCTATAGGCATTATACCATGGCAAAAAAACATCTTTTACAACGCCATATACTCCATCCTTCTTAAAACGTAAAGGTTCTGCACGAACAACGGGCGAATTTATGATGTACAATCTTAATGCATCAGCCCCGTAATCGTTTATTACCTCAGAGGGTGGAGGATAGTTCTTCAATCTCTTACTCATCTTCTTCCCATCCTCAGCCAGGACAAGCCCATTGCAGATGAGATTTCTAAAAGCAGGTTTTCCAAAAAGTGCAGTTGACAGGACCATGAGAGTGTAGAACCATCCGCGAGTTTGATCTAGACCCTCAGCCACAAAATGTCCAGGAAAATTGTTCTCAAAAAGATCAACATTCTCAAATGGATAGTGGATGTAAGCATAAGGCATGGAGCCGCTCTCAAACCAGCAATCAAAGACGTCCTCCACGCGTCGAAGAACTCCAAATTCAGAGCCACGATTTGAAGGGATTGTGATATGATCAATGTTATGACGATGCAAGTCAGTCACCTTGGCACCAGAAAGTTTTTCCAGTTTATCAATGGAGTCCATAACCACAATTTCCTCACCATCCTCACTAATCCATATAGGAAGTGGAGTACCCCAAAACCTACTTCGACTAACAGCCCAGTCTCTCGCATTTTCTAGCCAATTATGGAAGCGCTTTTCCTTCACAAATTCTGGCACCCAGTATGTTAGTTTGTTGTTTTCTAGCAACTGATCCTTAATCTTTTCAACTGCAACAAACCAACTAGGAACTGCCCTGTAGATAAGGGGAGTGTCAGATCTCCAACAAAAAGGATAATTATGAGTAAAGCTTCCAGATTTGACAAGCCTGCCTTTCTCCTTTACTGCTTGAATGATATCTTTATCCGCATCCTTGACGTAGCGCTTGCTGAAGTCAACAATTTTCTCAGTGAAACATCCATCATCATCCACTGCCACGATCAGGTTCTCCCCCTTGCTAATTATGTTATGCTCCATACAAACACGGTAATCATCTTCCCCAAAAGCAGGAGCACAGTGAACAATTCCAGTTCCACTATCGTCAGTTACGTAGTTATCTGAAATAACTCTGAATGCCACATCGGAGAACTCCTTGAAATAATCAAACAACGGCACATACTTCTTGCCCACGAGTGAGAAACCAATGCACTTATCCAATATTTCGTAGAAATCAATATGCTTTACTTTAGCACCCTTGGCCTTTGAATTTGGATTTTCAGAATTATCAACAGTTCCTTTCTTCGGCTTTTCAATAGGAAGCTCAGTGAAACGCGATTCTGCAACCACATAAACTTTCCCATTGACTTTGTTGCGGACCTTCAAATAAATAAAGTTGGCATTGACACAAAGTGCAAGATTGCTAGGCAATGTCCAAGGTGTTGTGGTCCATGCCACAAGACATGCACCATCTGGATCATCAACTATGGGGAAAGTTATCATGATTTCTGGGTCAGGTACTTCCTTATAGTTAGAATTGGCTTCAAAATTGGATAATGGAGTTTTGCAACCTGTACTGTATGGCATGACCTGCAAAATTAACAAATGAACCACCAAATTAAGATGAGTTCCAAACCAAGAAACCATAGAATCCCCACAGAAATAATTATTCTTTGATTGCTTTTCATTCTCTTTCCATCAACTTTCTAAGCCTACGTTTGGTTCGTGTTTATAAATTATTTATAAACAATCAAGCCACTTTCACCCATAGGGACCCACAAAAATGATAAATTATTTTGTCATTTTTTACCTGTTTATAATTTAAATAATTTATGAACACTTCCCAAACATGAGTTAAATCACTGAAGATATTACACAACAACTAAGTTCTAAATTTTCAGATCCCAGTTCATAGAAGGAAATGGAACCCCCTTTGTGAGCAAGTGACAAAATAATAAAAATAAAGCCATATGCAGAAACCATCATATCAACAATTTAACAAGTTTCTATATAACCATTTCAGTAATAATGAGATTATAAACAATGATAAGCGAAAATTATTAGAACGTTCCAGAATACAAGTGCCGTGCCCCCAACTCGGGGAATGACCCAATGTAACTTATTTACGTAGAATTTGTGCCAACGACCTAAAGGACATAATGTAAATGGAGACAAAACATTCATTGAGTGGCTAATACCTCCACCATACCTGACATGACATTACAATTTATCAACTAATATAACTCTGCAGTCCAGAGCTTCCTTCCAGAAAATTTCTGGTTTACCCCGAGAACATAGCATTCCACATTTTTAGCCATCGTAGTGCTATATAACCGAATGAGCTGGCACAAAACATGATAGATTAATCATAGCACACGCCTTACAATATAATTTTCTTATCAGAATCAAGTTAGAACAGTGGAGTTTACTGATCTATTTCATTATTCGGAGATAGTGGTAAGGGAAAACTAGTATCTATATCTTTTTTATTAGGACACTATCTCTTCGTGGAATTGTAGATATTTCCATCTTTCTTTTGTTAGTAAGACGCCCATTCTAAACAGACTTGCTGGATGTTCTTAAGACGACATGAACCCCATAGAGACCTTACGTGTTTGTACTGGTTTTTTAATATATGGTTCATACTGTAAGACCAGACCGGTTTTCAAAATATTGGTTTCTATGAAGGAATAGTATTTCATTTCGTTAAACAATTACTTCAATAAAATTTAAAACACATATTTTGCCTTTTTTGGGAAGTATAAAAATGATTTAACTTGCTTTATCTCCAAGAGTAGTTATCATTTTCCTACTTATCAAATAGAAAAACAATTGTAACTTAAAAGGCCCAGGATAAATTATCTATATTATAATAATATATCGCATGAATTGCCAAAATAAGAGTAAATAAATAACCACACAAATATAGCATAAAAACAGATAGGTAACTGCATAATATTTATAGGTAAACAAGAAGAGAAATGAAAACCAAACCTTAAAACCCCGATAGACGAGATCCTTCTGGAACAGCTGGGAAAACACCCACCAAACCGACTCCATGAAATTCAAGTCCATAGTCTTGTAATCGTTCTTAAAATCAATCCATCTCCCCATCCTAATCACAGTCTTTTCCCACTCCTGAACGTACCTCGTCACAATCGATCGGCACTCCTCATTGTAATTCCCAATTCCCATTTTAATCACATCCTCCCTACTATTAATTTTCAGCTTCTGATCGATCTCATGCTCGACAGGTAGCCCGTGGCAATCCCACCCGAACCTACGGGTCACGTGGTGGCCGGTCATCGACTGGTATCGGGTCACAATATCCTTGATTGTGCCAGCCAAAATATGTCCATAGTGCGGGAGACCGGTGGCGAAGGGTGGCCCATCATAAAAGATGTACTCTGGGAAATGCTTCGTGCGCTCTAACTGGGTCTCAAATGCCTTGATATCGTCCCACCATGACAGGATTTTCTCCTCCTGCAGCGGGAACGAGAAATCCTTTCCTTCACAGACGTCGTCCATTGATGAATCTACGCCGCCGCGTTGCGACCCCATCTAAGGTTTCAGTTCAGGCGATGCAGGATAGGGTTTTGGAGTGGCGTTCACTGGGGGAATATGGAAATGTTCGTTGCGTTGAAAATGCCGAGCACATTTATTCGTTAACGTTATAGGCTAATACAAGGCTGTAGCCCAATTATGGTTTACATATCTGTGATGTCTCGGCCCAATAAGATTACTTTTGGACTGACCTATATGGGCCGGGAGCCTGGCAGCATAGTCCATATTCCTCCATCTTGACATAGGGGTGGCAATGAATCTGAGCCATCGCCGGCTCATCGGCTGGCTTTCATTGGCGGCTTTTCGACCGTCATGAATAAGCACAAGATTTCATTGGACTCACATCACATTTGGACACCATTATTATAGTATAGTTTGGCATTCAAGGACTAAGATTCTCGCTCAAAACTAAAGAGTTGATGATAAGTATATTTTGTACACTTATGTAGTCCATTAAATTTGATTATTTGTTAGTGATTTAGATAAGTTATACCTTAATTTTGTATAAATTATGTTTGTTAGGTTAAATTCAATACAAATTGGTAAATGAACGAAAAATGGGCAAAAATGAAATAAATTCAAAGTTTGGAGATCAAAGTGTAAACATTCAATAGTTGATTCGAACCACAAAACGATGATTGATGATTATATAAGATCAATTGGATGCAATTTGAGGTTGAAGTAGTGTAATATAATTGAAGCATTTTCACAAATCATTTTCCAGCCGAAAAAGTTATGTTCCAAATTTTTAGCCTCAATTTGAGACCCATTTTTTAGATAGAAAACATTTGAATTGGAAAATTTGTATTTATAAAAGAATTGCATCCCTTTGAATTATATTACAAACGTATTTTGAATCACCTCAATCGGATATCAAAAGAGAAAATTATGATAAAAAATATCGAAAGCTATTCAGAGATGACGAGATGCAAAAAGGGGCGCGCACGAGATACAAATTTCATGACCCGAGAGCCATATGGTTCAATGGTGTGCGCAAGGGGGCTATTTTCCACATATGAATCAACAGTTTCCTTTCGCAATTCAAACTTTTTTGAAATTTAAATTGAACGAGATTTTGACTATTTTCTGACTCTTAAAAATACAATACAGGGGTTACACATTGAAAAAGACTCTCTCTTGCCTCTTCGTACACGATATTATCATCAAATTCATCAAGAACAAGGGATTAATTGCTACATTTTAATAGAAAAAATCAAGCCATAGCAATTGAATGTTGATTGTATCAAGAATTTGACAAATTCAACATTGAGCTTGAAAATCAACATCTTTTTAATTATTTCATGATTATGATGATATTTTTCTATTATTCTTTTTGTAATATATATATTAATATGTTAGACTAAATTCATTTTTTGTATTGGATGAAGATGAACATTATTATTTATTTGTTTTAATTCAAGACTAATAGTTTAGTTTATTTCTTATGTTTCTTGATTCATTTTGCATACCAATTACATGATTTAATTGATTGGTCACCAATTAGATAATTAGTTGTTTATTATAGTGTTAAGAGACTCACAATAAGTTTAGATTGCGGCAAAATTAACATATGTATAATGGATATTAGAAATAATATTTATAACATGTGCAATCATATTGATAATCTGAAATTTAGTGCGTACCAACCATTCGAATTTGGGCTAGGAATAGACTTGGGTTGTAATTAGAACAAAGTTAATTTATCTTTAAAAATAAAGTTAAATATATTAGTTTTATCGAATTAGTTTTATCGATTGTCAAAAACGCATTAATATGATTAAACTATATAATTGAGAATTAAAGTAGATAGCAATAGCCGGATTCAAATTCCAATACAATTACCTACGATTTGAAACAAACACTTTTTACCACTTCACTAGATCAATTTAGAATAATTACAAAATCAAAATCTCTTTTGTTTATATATTTCGAATTCCATACAAAACTAGTAAACTTGAATTGAATTTATTTTTTATGGGACGATACTTTCAACTCAACAATTATATTACTTATCAACAATTACGTACGCTTGCGAATTCGCACGAACAGTTAACCTACACTCGGTTTGAATTCTACACCCACTACAAGAAAAAAGACCTTTTGCAACTTGCAAAAGGCAACATTCATCAGTTGCATGTTGCTAAAAGGGGTCTATGACAACATTTAGCAAGTGTATGTTGTTATTGGTTGACAAAATTGAGTTTTGGCAACGTTTTTTTAATAAATGTTGCTAATACACCCTTTTGCAACGTTCGAGGGCCGTTGTCTTTAATTTTTTTTTTTTTGCAACGTTCAATGTGTGCTGCTGTTAACATTTTGCAACGTGCAATGTGCGTTGCCGTAGATTAGTTTTAGCAACATACGTTCAATGCATGTTGCAAAAAGTGTCTACGACAACGATCGCGGAATGTTATCTTAGAAGTTGTCGTAGACACTTTCCGCAACGTTCCGCGAACGCTACCATAGGGTCTACAGCAACATTCAATGCATGTTGCAAAAAGTTGGAACTCCACGGCGACATTAAAGCCCGCAACGTGCACCCGAACGCTGCAAAAGGTCTATGACAACGTTTTTCGTACGTTGCCACAGGCTGTTTCTAGTGTAGTGACCATCCTCTGGAATGATAATTCATTATTTAATGGTACGTAAATGTAACTCATCGTTCAAACAACTATTCAAAGTTATTTATGAACCCGACGATACTATATTATTTCCTTTACTTGTATTGGGCATTTTTAATTTATTCATTTCAACCACACAATCCATCAAATTTTATCAAAATCTACTAAAAATCTAAATTTTATTTAAACCAAGTAGTGGCTAAATATCCAAACCCATATCCTCCCCATTTCTGCATGGAATCATGTAAAGTCATTATTCAACTTTGATAATGATGGTACGTCTGACTGTCTGAGCTTGCCTAAATATGCAAGAATTAAGGCGCGCATGCACTACTTACCCTATTGGCGGGCAAGGCACCCAATCGATCGTTAGGGTACTTAGTGCTGGTGGACAGACACCACACCATGACGAGTATAGGAGCTACCAATATTTATTGACCTAGTTTGGTCCTATGGACACCAGATAAGATAGCATATGCTATTTCTATCGTCGCTTACTATGGATACCGGATAAGATAGCAGCGGATTCATTTGGTATGACTTCTGTTTTTTGTAAAGAGTTTTCGAATAGTTTAATATACAATAGTCATATACCAAATGCGTCATTTCCTACAAGAATTATTTTACATATATATATTAGGGTTTACGCTGTGACGTACCTAATATTCAAGTGACGTTTCATCATTGGCTAGTGGAAAAGCAGTGTAGCAAAATCCTGATAGATATAACTTGTACGAATTATGATGAGCCACATTCACTTTTTATTTATTTCTTCTCCTTACCAAAAGCCAAAAATAAAATAAAATGTTAAAGGCACTAAATATATAACCAATTAGTTACTCCATAGTAATTGCCTTCATTCTTCTTCCTCTTCTGAGTGGGCAATCTAAATTCTTACACACAAACAAGTTTCACAATACACTGCCACTGAAAATGGGGTTACATAATGGTGATAGACTTAGCCTTGTGTTCTTGATTCTCTTTAGTTTCTTATTTCTTCTTTCCATTCCAGGATCTGTTGATGCATACAAGAACTATACTGTGGGTGATTCTTTGGGTTGGTTTGACAATATTGAAAAGCCTAATGTTGATTACCAAAAATGGGCTTCAACCAAGAACTTCAGCCTGGGAGATTTCCTCAATAAGTGTATTCAAGAATTTCATTGTGTGTGTGTGTTACTTTTTACTGTTGCTACTGATATTTTTTCTGCATATATCTTTGAAACAAAGTGAAAGTGATAGATATAGATGATGAATCTATAGTTAGGGATTTTTAATTTGATTTTAATCTGTGTTTTTTTTTTTGGTTCTAAATAAAGAGAGATTAATGGATTTCTGGGGAATTTTTTTCCAAAAAAAAATAAAAAAATTAACTAACTAAACTACCATTTTTGGAATTTTAATTTCATTCTTTTGTTTAATCCCTTCTCTGTGCTTAATTAATTTGTGGTACTGACTTGCTTAACTTTTTAGCAAGATAGGCTTAGAACCTTACTGATAATTCTGGAAAAATATTTTTATTTGCTGATCAGATGTTAAAATGATCACCTTATGCTTAGAACTTTACTGATAATTCTGGAAAAAAAAAAAAATTTGTGCTGAATTAAATATACAAAAAAAAAATATTTCTTTATGTTGTTGACTCTTTAATCAATGAGATAGGTTCTATTATGAAGTAGGGTTGGTTTAACCACACTAATAATTGGGTCAAGTAATTTGGAATTAGGTTTTGTAATAAGAAGCCTATAGCTCTTATCAAACCATGAGTTGCCTAGCTTGAAGTCACAAAAAGAT